TGTGTCCACATAAGCGATCCTGACAACCCAAACTCTAAAGGTAAAGTTCTGACCCAAGTGCAGAATCACAGGGAACATAATGAGGGAAGAGGGGTCCCAGTCCACCATTCCCAGGTAAGAAGCCCAGCCTGGTCACCCACCTTCCTACTTGCTGTTAGAATGAAAGGGGCCAGGTGGACATCTTAGCCTGTGAGTGGAGCAAGAAGTGTGTGTGTGTGTGTGTGTGTGTGTGCGTGTGTGTGTGTGTGTGTGTGTGTGTGTAGGGAGGTAAGGGGGGAGAATAGGGTGTCCCAGAGTCAGGATGTTAGGGCTCAGATCCCACGTGATACTGAGCAAATGACTTGACCACATCCGTGCCTCGTTTTTCTCGTTAGTGCAGCAGACAGCCTCTACGGTGGCCCACAGTGACCCTGCCTCCTGACACTCAGGCCCTTTATGAAATTCTCTTCAGTGTGGGCTGGACCTGGATACTTGCCGCTAACAGAACAAAGCAAGCGATGGGATGTCACTTCCAAGGTTAGGTTACGAAGGGACTGAGATTTCTGTCCTGGGCATTCTCCTTTTCTCTCCTCCTCACTCTTTCCTGCTCAGAAGAAAACCAGTTGCCATGCTGCGAGCTGCCCTGTGGAGAAGCCCAGGTGGCAAGGAAGGCAGGGAGGCCTTGGCCAGCAAGGAACCAGCCCTGGTCTGGACGGCAGCCTATGAGGACCTGTGCCAGGGGATCCAACTAAGCCACGCCTGAATTCCTATCCCACAGATACTAAGAAACAATAAGTGCTTATTGTTTTAAGCTACTAAGTTTGGGGACAATTTGTTATATAGCAATAGATAAATAATACTTTCATAGGAGGGGCCAATAACCAGACCAAACCCTGAAATAGACACGAGGCTTAAATGAGAAAATGGAGGTAATGCTCTTGGCAAGTGAGACATGTTGCCCCCTTCACACCGCACACAGTGCCTTAACAAGCCTGTGTGCGGAACGCCCAAATCCCACGGCGTGAGGACGCAGCACACTTATGTCCATCGGCAACTCCCACATCCAGAGCCATAGGGTGGTTCAGAACTCTGTTTCCCCACTCACGACACCAGTGAGAAAACACACACCAAGGGCCTGCCGCCCAGTCCTTGTTCTAAGACACTCGCCAATCGGCTAGTGATAGAGAGGAAATGGAGATGCTGAGAACGAGAGAATGGATTTCCACCAACTCAAGGCTCTGTCTGTTCCTGCACGCACCCAATTATTCCACATCCGTTTCCTGAGGACCAGCTCTCCGTCAGCACTGGGTCAGGCGGCAGGAATGGGCCTCTCCTCCATGACTGAGGGAGTAAGGCCATCTAAAGTAGGCCTTCCATCGTCTCTCCTCTCACCCGCCCCATTCATTCCCAGGTGTCTCCGAGGGAAAAGAGGCCACCACCCACCTGAACTCCCACGGGCATCCTAGGCCCCAGGCCCATCCCTCCCACCTGTCCAGTTTCTGCTCTAGTCCATCTCATTTGACTCTGTCACCTACAGGCCCAGCCAGGGGTCCCCAGCCTAGACCACATGGCTCTCTGTCACCTACAGGCCCAGTCAGCACTCCCCGGCCTAGACACATGGCTCTCTGTCACCTACAGGCCCAGCCAGGGGTCCCCGGCCTAGACACATGGCTCTCTGTCACCTACAGGCCCAATCAGCGGTCCGGCCTAGACCACATAGCTACCTCTTCCTCCTTCTTAAGCTGTTACTCCCCTCAAGTCCCACTGCCCGGGCCTCCTCAGCCTCACCAGCCACTTCCTCGTGGCCTCATCCTCTCATTCCGCCTTCCTTCTACCATCTGTTAACGTCCATCTTGGCCACACTTCTGCCTCAGGTCTCCTTTATCTTCCCTGTTCCCCTCCTTTATGCAGAGTTGATGGAACAGGTGTTAATATCAGGGTAATTAATTCATCATGAACCTAACATTTGTCTAAGAATTCATTTTGAGGTAACTGTGTTCCTCCACCTCAGGACTAACTTTAGACTGAAAGGAAGCATTTAATGAAGACTGAAAATCACAAATGCTGCGCACTGTACTTTACAGAACATACATTTTGTTCTTACAGGTCTTGTTTCTCAAATCTAGGGCTGCAGCTAAATTCTCGAGTCATTTGAAAAGTTCACATTCTACATGCTCTTGAAGCCAATCTAAGAGAATGACTATTAATAGAGGGGAAACGCTGCTCTGAGGTTTGAAAGACAGCACGCACTGTCTTTCTGAGCTTAAATAAAAAAGCTCCTCTTGCCCTAACTAAATGGTCCCAGGTTCCATTCAAGGGCACGTGCCCGGGTTGCGGGCTTGATCCCCAGTGTGAGGCGTGCAGGAGGCAGCCAGTCAATGATTCTCCCTCATCACTGATTTTTCTATCTCTCTCTCCCTCTCCCTTCCTCTCTGAAATCAATAAAAAAAATATTTTTTAAAAAACCTCTCTTTTTGCTGACTGGTTTGGCTCAGTGGATAGAGCGTCGGCCTGCGGACTGAAGGGTCCCAGGTTCGATTCTGGTCAAGGGCATGTGCCTTGGTGCGGGCACATCCCCAGTGGGAGGTGTGCGAGAGGCAGCTGATCGATGTTTCTCTCTCATCGATGTTTCTAACTCTCTATCCCTCTCTCTTCCTCTCTGTGAAAAATCAATAAAATATATTTTTTAAAAAAAGAAATTAATTTCAGGGAAACCTGGCGGATACCCCCAAAAGGGAGCTTATCATCTGAAATGGAAGAACACAGGGAACCCTACTCGCCTGCTGATCACACAGACTAAGACACCGTAAACCACATAACAAATAGTGGTTTCAGGCACCACTCCAGCTGCAGGATCACGCAGGCTGCAGGCAATGATGTGCAGGTAAGATGCTCTTCGGAAGGCAACTTCATGCAGCGCGCTCCAGACAGCGGAGAACGGGGACTCACTTATTCCGTGGAGATGAATGCCTCCCCAGAGTAAACCAGATCAGGATAAATCATAATCACAGCTGCCACCTATTAAGGGATTATTATGTGCCAGACACATGCACGAACTCATTTAACCTGCACAACCACCCCCTGAGGGAGGAACTACTGTTATCCCTGTTGCAAAGATGAGGAAAGTGGGATTGGGAGACATTAAATGACTTGTGCAGGGTCACTCAGCTAGAAAGTGGTAGGCGGGGTTCAAACCTAGTGTCCAACTCCTGAGCCAGCCTGACCTTGGGCCTCTGTTCTGTCTTCTGGGCCTGAGCTGCCTACCTGGGTCCTGGGACCTCTAGGCCCGGGGGCCTGCCTGGAGCTTTCTCTGTAATGCCTCATGCATCCAAGGGAATTAGAGTCCCACCTACACTCTCCCTTACACCAATCGCCTATCTGCTAACGGGCTTCCCTTTCTTTACCATAAATGTTCAGTTTTGCTACAGAAGCTTAATCTTCAACAATTTGCCTGCATTTGCTAACTGTCTAAAATAACTTGGGTAAGTAAAAAAAAAAAAAAAATCGAGTTGAAGAATCGCAGTTAAATAAAGAGTTATTCTTCAGGCAAAGGGCCAATTCATTCCACACCGCCTCTTTCTAATAAACACAGCAGAAAGATGGAGAGCGGTGTCTGGGGGAGACGGCATCTGGCATAAACCAGGGAGACAAACACCTGTGGCCGGCTTCAGGCAGGAGAGAAATCGCTGCGTTTGACAGGATGACGTTATTAACTCTTCCAGTGACAAAGAGGCGCTGTAGCTTGACTTCCTTTTTAGGAATACTTCTTGCTGCCAACGTCAGTTCGGCATAAATTTTCAAACCAACTGTGACAAGGATGCACTCATCTTTCTAAAGGAAAACCTTTACAAAGGACTGGGAGGCGGCAGACATCATTTGTTCAGGCCCTGACCGGTTCATCACAGCCAGTGGGGGAGCGGGTTACTGTCATAAACACAAGACGGGGCAGACATGCACAGCGGGCTCTCGGGCGCTGGTGTGAGCAGATTCCAGCTGCCACTGGCAGTGCAATGTTTACTGTTACCACCACGTGCCAGGCATATGCCATGTGCTTCACTGCCACCCTCTTTGAATCCTTGTACCAGGCCAACGGGCAGATACTAGTTGATCTCCACTTTACAAAAGAGAGAACACTAGGTCTCAGAGAAGTTAATTAAATGACTAGTCAAAGGTCCACAGCTAGGAAGTGCTAAGAGCTGGCCTTCGTATCCTGGCCATCTGGTTCAGTGGTCCTGGCTCGCAGCCCTTCGTCCATCCCGCCTCTCTGCAAGTAGTTAAAGAAGGTGCTACGATTATTCCCACCTCATGTCGCCAAAGGGCAAAGAGCAGGCTCTGGGGTGACTGGCAGTGGTGAGAAGGGGACTGACCACATCAGCCAAGTTTCTTCCTCCTGCCCTAACCAGTTTGGCTCAGTGGATAGAGCGTCGGCCTGCGGACTGAAGGGTCCCAGGTTCGATTCCGGTCAAGGGCACATACCGGGTTGCTGACTCAATTCCCAGTAGGGGGTGTGCAGGAGGCAGCCAATCAATGATTCTCTCTCATCATTGATGTTTCTATCTCTCTCTCCCTCTCTCCTCCTCTCTGAAATCAATAAAAATATATTTTTTTTAAAAAAGTTTCTTCTCTCCTCTCTCCACGCAAATTTCACCGCATCCCCCAGATCTATGTCAGATGGTCCCTCTTTAGTGGGGCCCCTCCCAACGCCTGCAGAGCTGTTACTCCCCAAATGTCTCTTCCTTACAAAACCTTATTCCATTCTGTGTTTCACCCCACCAGACGGCGAACTCCTTCCTGGGGAGAGAGCATGTGTTACCCACACGTGTGGCTACCCCACTCCACCCCCACCCCATCTCCACCCTTAGCACAACACCTAACACCCAACTCATCGAGACGCTTTGTTATAATAACTTCCAGTTCATAAAAGGAAACACTGAGCTTGTCATGTTTATCTTCAAAGCGAATCTCATCTTAACTGAGTGGTTTTCTGCATTTGCCCTGAACACACGTTACAACATTCTCACTGTTCTGAGGGAGGTGGGCACGGGCTGTCGGGCAGCACTGCCCTTACCTGCATCCCTCTCATCCTCTGGAACCGGGCGATGGTGTCGCTGATGGTGTACACGCGCACGTGGCCCATGTGCAGCCTGCCCGACGGGTAGGGGAACATGGAGAGCACATAAAACTTGGGCTTCGATTTCTAGGGAAGGAGGAAGGAAAATGATGAGTATTAGTAAGCATTTACTGGGAACCTGCCTGCACATAGCAGTGGGCACGTTCCTCAAGGTAATTGTTTAACACTGTGAAACGTGTCCTTTTGAAAACACTATTCCTGTAATAGAAGTTGACAAAAATGTCAAAAACCCAAATTCAAAGCCCTGGTTTGAGCTAAAGAATGTCCAAAATGATGCCGAACACCCTCCAAGTGCTAATAACTCATCTATATTTTTAATCTTTTTTTCTCTCTCTCTCTTTTAAAAAGCTTATTTTTAAGACAGCTTCTATCTAGATCTAAGCAAACTGTGTTTTTCCAAATGAAGCTCTAGTGAATCCCGGATGTGACATCTCTGAACACGGAGCCCTTCCGCAATCCTGAGCTGCACTCAGACCTGGGTTAGCAGTCAGACCAGTATCCTAAGGCACCAGTTTGGGTCCTGGGTTTCTCGCTGTGTTGGGAGCTTATCTTTTAACAGAAAAAGCTGAAATGGGAAGATAGTGGGAAAATCTCAGCCAGTGAAGGGAGAAGGCTGTGGCTTCCCAGGGGTGGTCTGCAGGCGGCCTCAGGCCAGGGTTGTATAACTAACTCTCCAGCTTCCCAAGATGCAGCTTCAGCATGAGAAGCACAGAGAACTGGACGTGCATCCCAACAGAATGAACACAGGGCAGGAAGTCCTCATTGGGACGCTGATTGCGACACCTTAGTTCTTCCATCGGTAAAATGGTGGGTGCTGGCACAAGTCCGTGCACAGGAGGGGATAAGGCTCCAAAGGAAAGCTGGTAGGCAGGTAACTAATTCCTCATTGGGGCCTGTTGTTCAAGGGCAATGACTGGGTTTGAGCATCTCCCCCCCTAACCCCCCAGCAGAATTAATAACTATTGGATGTTTGTGGGCCTTGGTGCCCCGGAAGCCTAATAACTGGCCTCCGTAGAACTCTTAGCAAATTGTCCCCATGATGCAAACTGGGCATTTTCCCAGCAAAGTCCACCAATCCTGTCCAGGCGATGGCACGCTCCCCCCGCCCAGCCTTACATCCTCCAAGGGGCAGAGGAGCTCCTAGGAAGAAAGACAATAACTGCTTCTGCTTAGTCACTAAGGGCCGGGACCATCTGATATTACACTATTTCATTTACTTCTGCCTTCTGTCTTTCCCTTTCCGTCTTGACTCCCTTCCTAGAGTCTTCTAAGGCTTTGCTTCCCCCAAACTAATGAAAACAAATGCAAAACAGAATATTCATAACCATCCCTTTGTGATCATGTGGGGGGGGGAGGGGATTTGCGTTTTTTGCTAGTATTTGCACGCCTGATCGTTGACACAGCCAACTGTATAACCAGGGGAGTAGAAGAAACCAGAAAGCAGATTCATGCCCTGACTGGTTTGGCTGAGTGGATAGAGCGTCGGCCTGCGGACGCAAGGGTGCCAGGTTCGATTCCGGTCAAGTGAATGTACCTTGGTTGCGGGCACAGCCCCAGTAGAGGGTGTGCAGGAGGCAGCTGATCGACGTTTCTCTCTCATCGATGTTTCTAACTCTCTATCCCTCTCCTTTCTTGTCTGTAAAAAATCAATAAAATATATTTTTTTTAAAAAAGCAGATTCTTTCCAATCTCATCTGACCCCTTGCTTTAAACTTCCTTCAGCAAAGAAGTTAAACTTTTACCAGAGCCTCTGACACGTGGCAACATAGACTAGAGTGGAACTTTTCTCTCCCTGCCCCTCCTCCAGAAATTACCGACGGCAGTCAAGTCAAGATGCCTGAAGGAAGAAAAGGGGAGTAAGGAGTCTGGACCTAGTCTACACAGACTAGAAACCCGTCTTGAAATGCTGTTGATGTAAACAGATGGGTGGGAAGCAGCACACTGATCGGGCTCTTTAATTGGAAACTGTGGATCCACAGCGCTTAGGAAAACCTCAGGAACGGGGGTGAGGACGGGAGGTTCAGGAGTCAGTGGGGACTCAGGAATTACCGTCTTTAAGAAGACAGGTGACAGACAATCCTCTCAGCTTATAAACAAGGCTCTCAAAGGAGGAACAAGACCTCAGGAAATAAGCAAACTAGCCTCCCTACTCATTTTTAGGGAACGTGGTAAAGATCTGTTAAAAGAGTTCTTTATTTTTTTAAAAACATATTTTTATTGATTTCAGAGAGGAAGGGAAAGAGAGAGATAGAAACATCAATGATGAGAGAGAATCATTGATCAGTGCCTCCTGCACGCCCCACACTGGGGATCGAGCCTGCAACCTGGGCATGTGCCCTAACTGGGAATCGAACTATGACCTTCTGGTTCATAGGTCGACACTCAACCACTGAGCAACACTGGCTGGGCCAGAGTTCTGGGACCAGAAAAACACACACAAGAAAACCCTTGCTATAAAATATTTTGAGTTTTTCATTGTAAAGTTTTTACATTAAACCTGTTTTTCTTTTATTATAATCACCTTGTTTTTATTATAGTAATATATTTTTATATTATGTTTATTTAACAATCAATCTTGCCCCAAACATTTTCCACATATAACTCCTTCATTAGCATCTCCTTTTTGTATGTTGGTTTAACAAAGCTTAAATTTATGTAAAATCGAGTGATTCATTATATAGTAGCTAAGCCAAACACCAACACTGAATTTATAGAAGATATATAGAAAAGTACTGCTAGCAAAAGCTTTTAATATTCATGGATATTTTTATTGCAGAAAAGGTATTCAGCTTACTGCCTGCCCTGCCTTTTGCTTTCTGTGTGAATTAAGTCATTTTCCTCTGTGACAATGAAATGCATTCTATCCTCTGTGGGTGGAAAGAAGAGGAGGAATTATGGGAGTTTATGTTATAACCAAGCAGGAATGTAATTGAAAGGGAAATTTTCATAATTATGTAAAAGTTAAGAATTGAAACCTTTAAAAGAAATTAAGATTTTAAGCGATAAGAAAAGGACGGTCTTTATAAGTAAGTCCTATTCTTTTTGCCAGCTTCTCACGTTGGGAGAGAGATAATTTCTGTTTCTTTATAGACCTGGCTCCGAGCTGGGAGGAAGGGAGGATGGCAGAGAGGAGCACTCAATAGCAACCTGGAGCCCTAGTTCTGGTCCCAGCTTTGCCCCTGGCTCTGAGACCTTAGGCAAATTCCTTTGCCTTTCTGGGCTCAGTTTACAATCTGTAAATCAAAGGTGGATCAGTGGTTGGAGCATCGGCCCTTGGATCATGGGGTCTCAGGTTTGATTCCCGGTCAAGGGCCTGTACCTCAGTTACAGGTTCCCCAGCCCCAGTAGGGGAGCATGTTGGAGGCAGCCAATCAATGTGTGGGTGTCTCTCTCTCCCCCTCCTCCCTCCCTTCCACTCTCTAGAAATCAATGGAAAAAATACTCTTGGGCCCAGCTGGCGTGGCTCAGTGGTTGAGCGTCTACCTATGAACCAAGAGGTCACCGTGGGATTCCCGGTCAGGGCACATGCCCGTTTGTGGGCTCAATCCCCAGTGTGGGGTGTGCAGGAAGCAGCAGCCGGTCAATGATTCTCACTCATCTTTGATGTTTCTATCTCTCTTCCTCTCAGAAATCAATAAAAAAAATTTTTTTTTCAAAAGATGACTGGGTCTGAATCCTGGCTCTGCCACAGGTGAGTTGTGCATCTGGACAAATTGCCAAACCTCCCTCTGAGCCTCGGTTTTCTTATCCCCAAGATGAGGATAATACCTTCCCTCAGGCTTATTTCAGGATTAAATGGGAAAATAATGGACAGATGGTGCCTGACACATAATAATATGCTCATTAAATGGAAGTTCTTGCCCTAACCAGTTTGGCTCAGTGGATAGAGCGTCGGCCTGTGGACTGAAAGGTCCTAGATTCGATTCCAGTCAAGGGCATGTACCTTGGTTGCGGGCACATCCCCAGTAGGGGGTGTGCAGGAGGCAGCTGATCGATGTTTGTCTCTCACATCTCTCATCGATGTTTCTAACACTCTATCCCTCTCTCTCCTCTCTGAAAAAAATCAATAAAATGTATTTTTTGTAAAATGTGTTCAGCCACATTTCCCCATTTGATTTTCAAAACAATTCTGTGAGATAAATAATGTGAGGAATGTGAGGATCAAGGAGGTTCATGATGTTGCCAAGTTCGCACAAATTCTGGGGCAGAGCCAGTCCTTTACTGCCAGGCTCCAGACCCTCGCCAGGTGCTCGCTCCACTACACCGCACCCCCCTCAAACCCGACAGAGTGCCAGGGCCCATCCACAATATCTCCAAAGCTATTTACCCAATTATTGAAACACTAGAGGCTCAGTGCATGAATTTGTGCACGGGTGGGGTCCGGTCGGGCAGATCAGGCTGGGCCGGCCAGGGGGAGGGGCCGAGGGCGGTTGGCTGGCCGACCCTGCCCCCTGATCAAACTCCCAGTCGAGGGGACAATTTGCATATTAGCCTTTTATTAAATAGAATAATTTATTTTGACCCACTGAATTTTTTAAAAACCATATGCTTCAGAATGAGATGTCACAAAATCAGTAAGGTACAACTTCAAAATGTTTGAAAGTCACTAAATTATAATCTAAACCAAAAGTAAAAAATCGAAGTTTAAGCTCCTTATTTAGAATTAAACTGCACCCTGCCCAGTCGGTGTGGCTCAGTGGTTGAGCATCAACCTATGAACCAGGAGGTCACGGTTCGATTCCTGGTCAGGGCAGCACATGCCCAGGTTGCAGGCTCGATCCCCAGTAGGGGGGGTGCAGGAGGCAGCCGATCAATGATTCTCATCATTGATGTTTCTATCCCTCTCTCCCTCTCCTTTCCTCTCTGAAATAAAAAATATATATATTTAAAAAATGAATTAAACTGCTCCCTAAGGTTTATATCCAAAATATATTACATTAGATTAGTCTGATCGTGTTGCCAGGAAGGCTTTTCACTGCCTAATGAGTAAGAGTGAGGCTTGCATTGCACATTTACGCATTACATTCAAACCTTCCTTTTTGTCATTTCACTTGTTATATGCTATGCCTTTCTCAATGTCAGACTTTCTCACACAGAAGCTGGGCTCACAGCTGGCGAGCACAGCGGTGGTGGTGGGAGCCTCTCCCGCCTCAGCAGCAGCACTAAGGAGCAGCGAGCCAAGCAGTAAAGAGCAGCAAGCAGGTGGACGGTAAGAAGCAAGGGGTCCCCGACTATGAGAGGGATGTCCACCGAGGGCTCCAAGACTACGAGAGGGTGCAAGCCGGGCTGAGGGACCATCCCACCTCCCCCACCCCCCAGTGCACAAATTTCGTGCACTGGGCCTCTAGTACTTAATAACTTGTTTGAACCGGGCAGTCTGACCTCAGAGTCCAAACCCTTAACCCCTCTTCTCCACCCTTTCAGAATCTCCCAGGATACTCACATCAGCTTCAGAAATTTTGGAGGCCTGTTCCTTTATCCGTGAATGCCACCATTTCTCGACGTCCTTTCTTGTCTGCAGCGTATACTCTTTCGTCCACTGGCCCGTGGCACTGTAAATTCCTCTTTTACATCCTGGAATGACTCTCTTTCCCCAACTGATGACATCCGGCCCACCATTTAGCTGCCGTTTCAGAAGAGAGACATAGAAACCCAGTCTCTGCCAAGCAGAAGCCATTCTTCAGAAGGTGGGAGGCCCTGAAAGAGGGGAGAAAGCACACTGGTGAGCTGCCTGGAACCCACCCTGAGCCTGGCCTTCCACTTAGCACAGCTCAGGGCTCCCTGCCCCTCACAGGCTTTCCTCTTATTCTTCTTCTGATTTCTCTCCCTGAAAAGAACGCTTTAGAAGTTCAATTGAGCTAAGCACATTTTTTTTTAAATATGCTTTTAATGATTTCAGAGAGAGGAAGGGAGAGGGAGAGAGAGATAGAAACATCAATGATGAGAGAATCATTGATTGGCTGCCTCCTGCACGCCTCCTACTGGGGATTGAGCCCCAAACACGGGCATGTGCCTTGACCGGGAATCGAACCGCCACCTCCTGGTTCATGGGACTCTGAGCCACACTGGACAGGCTAAGCACAAACTTTTTTAAAAAATTAATTTATTTATTTTTAAGCACAGACTTTTTAATGGAAAATATAAAGGTGGTCAGTGCTCCCAAACACCAAAGATACAACCCCCCCCCTAGGGACAAATGGAGACCACTGCCTGGGCCAGCTCCTACCACAGCCTCACAGACTGCATGGGAGGCAGCGGAGCCCTCCCTCCCTTCTCTGTAGGCCAGCCCGGGGTCTGCCCAGCAGGCTTCACTTCCCATCGTCCAGGATTCAGAAGAGCTCCAAGCATATCTTAGCTTGGCCTTAGGCTCAAATATCGGAAGGGATCTGAACACAGGCCTTCAAGGAGGACCAGAGACTCTGGGCGATTATAAGCATTTTTCAAATATATTATGAATTCAAGATACTCGGTAGGCTAAGCCAGGAAATAACTGCAATTTAGAAGACTGCTTATTCACTTAGTTCTTCATTCACTTACCAAATCTGCACTGAGTGCCACAAGGTGCACACAGCTCTAGGCACTGGGGACACAGCTGTGAACAAACACAAAGTCCCTTCTGTCCTGGCCCTTACACACTGGCAGAGAAAAGGAGGTAAGAAGCCAACAAATATTATACAATATGTGTAACAGTGGTTTTTCTGGAATCCAACCCATAGGTGGGGGCCCATCAGGACATCCAGCTACGATTCAAAATTCAACTTAAACGTTTAAATGCTTTTCTCCAAAGCTGAATTCCAGAAATGAACTCATGGAAGATGTTTCATGTTTTATCAGGACTCAAAAGGTTGAGGTGACAGTGCATCAGATATTTAAGATTTATGAATAAATAAACTTTCTCCCTTCTAGCATAACAGCTTTTGAGAAGTGCTATAGTATTTTCATAACAGATCTTTCAAAAACCAGGAAGGAAGGAAGGAAGGAAGGAAGGAAGGAAGGAAGGAAGGAAGGAAGGAAGGAAGGAAGGAAGGAAGGAAGGGAGGGAGGGAGGGAGGGAGGGAGGGAGTGAGGGAGGGAGGGAGGGAGGGAGGACCTGACACTCTAAGCTGGTGTTCTTTGATTCTCTCAGAATGTTTCCATATCTACTAGGATTGGCCCCATTTCACAAAGGTACACGGACGTTGCCAACAGGGTTCATTACAGGCTTATAAAGGTGAATTTCACACTCACACAAAATGGCATCACAGTGTTGGCATTTTACAAGTTTGTCTGCCGAGGTTCCTGACATACCAGTTCTCACTGTATTTAACACATCTCGCTTCTTTGGGGGTGAAATCAGAAACAGTCTGAAAAAACAACAACTCCCTATCCATTGGGCTTGGCTATTTTAATGTGAGTAGATGTGGCTATAGATATAATAGTGAACTATGTGAAATCAGTTAAATATCAGCAATTCCATATGACCAACCTAATATATAGACATTTTGTACAACTAAGGCAATTGCATTGATTTTTAGGGGTTGGGTGCCTACATAATTAGAACTACCTACAGGATTCATGGATTTTATGGTTCTCTTGCTAAGTCATCATTCCCATATCTTTGCAAACCAAAGATGCCAGTTTAACAGAGGGCACACAGGGAGATGCCTGCATTCTCTCTCTCTGCATTCCCTAAGAACACATTGGACTATCCTCTCAAATAGAAACAATGGCAAGGAGCAAATTATAAAAATACAAACTGACTCTAACTGTAGTCCCGCAAGCTTTTGATTTTAATGATGGTTAGCCATTGTGACAAATGAAACAGCAACGAATGCAAACAGCTCACCAATAGGAGCAATATGAAGGTCATTCTTCCACTTAAAATTCTAATCCTGTCTCTACAACTCACTTATCCTATGAACCAAATTACAAACAATGCATTTACAAACAAGCTTTCTAAAAACATTTACATAATACCTGGTTCACCAATAACCTTTCCTTTACACAAACCGATAGACTAGAGAATCCTGAAACCGATCTAGGTATTTATAAGAACTTAAAGTTCATAAAGAAAAAAGAACAAGTAGATTACAAAGTGACAGATTTTTCAAGGAATGGTGGAAAAATTCAAATTAGATCCCTACCTCAAACATAAACCACAGTAAATCCCATATAAATTAAAGAATTTTTTAAGTACCATAAAACAAGACAAAAACATAAAGGGTAGGGAAAATATAGGGTTACAGTTGTTTGTATGGAAAATAATACAATAATAAATAATAAACAAAAATAACCTGAGTCACGTACTCACAACTGTAAACCTATCTTTGCCCCACCCTGTGGATGAGTACTAAGTAATTCTTTGCAAGGTGCAGGATGTTCTGTCCAGAGAATAAAACAATGAAAAATATTAATAATCTCTCTTAAAATCTAAAACATCTGTATATCAAAAACACCATTGACAAAAGAAGAAAGCAAAAAATAAGCTGAGAAAAAACTGCAACCGAAAAGCTTATCCTAATCTATAAAGTTCACATATGAAAAGAGAAATATTAAAAACCTAATTTTAAAAATGAGTAGAGGGAAAAAGGGAAGAGTAAAACCAAATGGCTAATAAATATATGAAAAAGATCAACTTTACAATGTATCAAAAATGCAAATTAAAACAACAATAAAATATTTTGCTTATCAGGTTGGCAAAAACCTGTTAAAACAAAAGAAATGTACGTGGGCAGTGCCCGGATCGACAGTGTTTGGACAGAACAGACCAGGGGATGCCCCTTCTTCCAGCCTCCGGCCACCCTCCAGCATCTTATCCAGTCAACCACCTTCAGAACCACCTCCGGGACCAGCCAACACCCCGGTTGTTTTCTACCTTATCTCCTTATTGCTGAACAACCATGAGCTCCCAGATTCGTCAGAATTATTCCACCGAGGTGGAGGCTGCGGCCAACGCCTGGCCAACCTGCATCTGCGGGCCTCCGCACCTACCTCTCTCTGGGCTTCTAGTTCCACCGCTAGGATGTGGCCCTACAGGGCGTGGGCCACGTCTTCCGAGAGTTGGAGAAGAAGCGCGAGGGCTCCCAGCGCCTCCTAAAGACGCAAAACCAGCGCGGGGGGCCGCATTCTCTTCCAGGACGTGCTGAAGCCTCCCAAGAGGAGTGGGCAAAACGCAGGACACCATGGATGCCGCCCTGGCCTTGAAGAGGAACCTGAACCAGGCCCTTGTGGAGCTGCAGGCCCTGGGTCCTACCCGCACAGACCCCCATCTCTGTGACTTCCTGGAGAACCACTTCCGGGGTGAGGAGGTGAAACTCATCAAGAAGATGGGCGACACCTGACTAACATCAGCAGGCTGGCCGGCCCCCAGGCTGGGCTGGGTGAGTATCTCTTTGAAAGGCTCACCCTCAAGTATGAAAGGCTCACCCTCAAGCACCACTAGGAGCCTTTGGAGCCCAGAGGCCTTTGAGAGGCCCCTCTGCATCCCCTGGTGTCTGGCTTTTACCTGAGCCTCTTACCAAAACTACTAGCCATTCTTTTAACCACCCTGAAGCCCTCTCCCATGCATTGGACCAAATGAAACAATAAAGCTTTTTGCAAAAAAAAAAAAAAAAAATGTGCGTGGCTCAGTGGTTGAGCATTGATTGACCTATGAACCAGAAGGTCATGGCTCAATTCCCGGTCAGGGCACATGCCTGGGTTGTGGGCTCGATCCCCAGTGTGGGGCATACAGGAGGCAGCTGATCAATGATTCTCTCTCTCTCCCTTCCTCTCTGAAATCAATAAATGTGCATTTGTATACAGTGCTGGTGGGTATGTAAATTGATTCTACCTCTCTGGGGAGCAATATGGGAAAATGTGTGAGACCCTTTGTGTTACAGCTAGAGAGTCCTCAAGACTCAGCACATAGTATACTCAGGGCTATGATTTCTTTTCTTTTTTTTTTTTAATACTTTGGTTCTCTTCTTTTTTTGTAATATATTTTTGATTTCAGAGAGAAAGGAAGAGGGAGAAAGAGATAGAAACATCAAGATGAGAGAGAATCATTGATCGGCTGCCTCCTGCACACCCCACAGAGGACTGAACCTGCAACCCTGCAACCCAGGCATGTACCCTGACCTGGAATTGAACCTGGTTCATAGGTCGATGCTCAACCACTGAGCCACACCGGCCGAGCAGGGCTATGATTTCTTATAGAACTTTCTGGAGCTCGGCCAAGTTCCCTTCCTCTACTTCCCAGGCCCTGCTCTCTGCCACTCACCCCCAAAGCCCCGATGGGCACTGCCTCTTCCTGACCAGGAGCAGCCGTTTTATTAGAGGACTATGCCCATAGGATAAGTGTGAAAGGTGTGGCTGTGGGTTGCATTTATGATCAGCACCTTTCTTCCTCATCTCTGTCTTCCCCAGCTCTTTACCCAGATGTCTGGAATCTTGTCTCTTCTTCCACCATATTCCGTGATCCTCCCGGCCTCACTTGGGGCTTAAGGTTCAGGTTAATGAGAATGGTGGGGGGAGTGGCATGTTCCCATGGAGGGAGGGCCTGGGAACTGGACCCAAATGGACAATCGTTTATGGACAGAGAAACCTAGAAGAAGACAGGCAAAGCAACAGAACACATAGGAGAAGTGTGTGAAGGCACTTGGGTGCACCCAAAAGAAGGTGTGTGAGAATGTACCTGGGGAAATGAGCCTTAATGGACCAAGTTTGGAGACCAAACAAAAATACGACCTCTAATAAGGTGATCTGGACTTCTGCAACTACTAACTTCCTGTATGACCCCAAGCAACTTATGTCGTGTCTGGAACCTCAGCTTCTCCTTAAGATGAGGGGTTAGACCCAATGATCGCTGAGGCCCTTCGAGCCCTGACATGCTGTGGCAATGACAGGTGGGCCAGAGAGGCACTGGATGGCTTTTCACTGAGTCCAAACCCCCAGCCCAGGAGCACAGATGCAGGGACCAGCGGGCGGGGGAGCGGCGGGGGAGGAACTGGAGTACAGACCTACGTGCGCACGTGCGCTTTCCAGGGGAAGGGCCCAGAGCTGTCGGCGGGTCTGTGGCTCCAAGAGCCTGAAGACCCAGGTCTCAGAGACTTTCCCAGCGGATGTCGGAGACTTTTCCAGTTCGGAAATGGCTCGGCTCCGGGACCACCTAACCCAGTCTGCACCTTCCCCTCCTGCTCCCAGCAGATCGAACCTCCCGATCCGGGGAGAGGAGATCGGGCCTCGCCTCTTGTCCCGCTGGCCCCGCTCAGGGGTTTACCTGCTCACAGGTTCTGGCCTGCGGCTCCTTATGCCGCGGTTCCCACCTCAGGCGAACACTGCCCGGCCGGCCTCCATGGGCGCCGCCATGTTGGCAGAACAACAACTTTATCGATAGCGGCCGCCACAGTCACAGACAGGCGGGGGCGGAGCCGCGTTGGCGCAGCTCGGCCTTCTCTCCGACTCCGCAGCCCGTGGAGCGGGGCCGTCCGCGCGGCCGCCCCAGGCTCTGCTCCTCAACCCCAGGGAGCGCCCCGCCGCCCTAAGCCCCGCCCCCAGCCCTAGGCTCCTCCCCGCCGCCCAAGGCTCCGCCCCTCGTTCCTAGGGACCGCCCCAAGCCCCTGTTTGATTGGCTGCCTCCTGCACACCCCACACTGGGGACTGAACCCGCAACCCTGCAACCCGGGTAAGTACCCTGACCTGGAATCGAACCTGGTTCATAGGTCGATGCTCAACCATTGAGCCACACCAGCAGGGCGGGGGTCAAATTCCTTTTTTTTTTTTATCTTTAGTGTTGAAAGTATTACATACGTTCCCTTTTTCCCCCATTGACCTCTCCCACCCACACAGGGGTCAAATTCTTAACAAATGCAGCAGACCTATGAGGGCCATCCGTTTAGTGGCCCCAGAATAAACGGGGTGGTCTAAAGAGCGCTGGAGGAGTCCTGAGGTCAGGTTCAAATCCCAGCTACAGCCCCCTCCAGGCTTGGTCAGGTCTCTCACCGTCTTGATACCGGGCCACAGGATGGTTAGAGCATCTTCTTCCCCCATATTCTGTGTCCTTCTAGCCCTGGGAGGGGAATTACCCAGCCTAGACTGGAGGCAAAGCGAACTTCCTCACGTGATCCCTGGCTGGGAGTCAGGAAAGCATGATACCTCACCCACTTTCCAGAGGCGTTTGTTTCCCACCCTGCAACCTCCCCACTCCCGCAAGCGTTCCTTGCTATAAATCAATCGATGAATCGATGAATGAATTGCAAAGGTAAAACCTGTTTAAAAGAGATTCTGAAGAACACATACATGTGGGCAATCAGAAATACTGAAACGAATTTGCTAATTGTGCAAAGGGGCTGATATCCTACAGGACAAGTAAAATGGATGTTTGGGAGCCATCTTTTGCTTCGGGGCTGAAATCAATTAAACAAAATTCATCTCATTACTATTTGTATTTCACATCTACTCTTACAGAGCTGGATAAAAGACAAGCAAACTGTACATGCCTATAGCACCAGTTAATCCCAGACACACGGTAATCTTTCACACGGTAATCTTTCACTAATTTCCAAGTCTTTCACAGTTTCCTGACATTTCAAAATCCAAATGCTTTGTTACTCAAAGTGCACTCTCCAGACCAGCATGTCTCACCTGGGAACTTGCTAGAAATGGAGAATCTCAGACGCCACCCCAGACCTACTGAATCAGACTCTGCATTTTAACAAAATCCCAGGGGGATTCTTAGGCAGATTGAAGTTTGAGACTCATTGTCTAGAATGTGAGAATTATAAAGGATCTTGAGAGCACTCTAGTCCAGCCTGCTCATTTTACAGATGAATAAACTGAGGCCTAACAGAGCTGACTGTCCAGCTCAGAGGTGAGGAACCTCTTTTCTACCAAGGGCCCTTTGGATATTTATACCATTCGAGGGCCATACAGAATTATCAACTTAAAAATTAGCCTGCTATATTTGGTCAAACATTTAATTAACTCACCCCTAATGCCTTGGCAGGGCCAAACCAGTTGATTTCGCAGGCCTTATACAGCCCTTGGTCCAGATGTCCCCCAACCCTGGTCTAGCTCAAGTTCATAGCAAGTTAGTAAAAGGTTTGTTATTCAAACAGGGTCTCTTAGCCTACTAGAATAGTACCTTTCCAAAAATGCAGAGTGGAAGATCATTAGGAGCTTTAAAAAACTTCTAGTCCAATACTCTCACTTCAAAGGTGAGGACCCTGAGGCCCAGAGATTGGATACAGCTTGCTAAGGTCACATAGATGCTTAAACTGATACCATGGAAACATGCCCTCTCACTTTAACAGGCTAGTTAATCTTCTGGTATGTCATGCTGCATCCATGTATAACTAAAGGGCCCTTTCTCTAACTTCCCCCAAATACTAATTTCTAAGTAGCCTCTATCCTTATTTTGTTTCGAAGTCGCCTTTCTCTTATAAATTAAAACATTGACGTTTCTGGGAGATTATTTCAAATGGAATTTTTTGAAAAGTCACTTGCTTTACTGGAAAGTTGCTATTTTTACATCAAAGAAGACTGCAGCATGAAAGTAAATCCCTTTCCTCTTAAAGAGCTTACTGCAAAGACACATTATTAAATGAAAGAGACAAATTGCTGGGCTGTGTAGGAAGTTATCCCATTTTTCATTTTTAAAAGGAAAGGAAATAAAAGCAATACATCTGTTAGTGTCTGCATAGAAAGAAATCTAGAAAAATATGTCCCAAACCAGCGGTCGCCAACTAGTGGTCCGTGGACCACTGGTGGTCCGTGAGGTCCGAAAGGTTGGCATCTGCTGTCCCAAACTACTTCCTGTGACAATTCTAGGGACAGTGGGGTCCTATTGGCCCTTTTTTCTCTCTTTATGATAGGTTTCTGTGTCCCTTTTGCTATTAGCTTGTGTGGTAGGCTGAGTAATGGCCCCAAAGATATATAGGTTCGAATCCCTGGAAGCTTATATGGCAAAAGAGACTTTGCAGATGTGATTAAGTGAAGAATCTTGATGAGAGAAGACTGATCATCCTGGTGGGCCCCAAATGCAATCTCAAGCGTCTTTATAAGAGAGAGGCGGGGGGAATTTGAGACAGAAGAGGAGGCAGTGTGACCACTTTAACAAATGTCATGGATAATTTTTCATTAAGAGTTCTTGCTGACCTGGAAGTTAAGCCCAGCACTGATGGGCCAAAAGACTCAGGGTGATCTTGGCATGTAACCCCCAGAGGTCAATCACCAAGAAAACGGGAGTGGATGCCCTTCTGAAAGTTGCCACAAAGCAATCTTGGCCTTGAGTGGCCTGGAGTAATATCAGTATTTTCCTAAGAACCTGATATTAAAAAGTGCTCATTCAGGGCACCCCTTCCTGGATACAAACTTTGCTGAAAGTGACCTCTTCTGTTGACATTTAATACATTTTTGTGGTTTTTTCCCCCCCAAAAAATGACTCTACAGTTCCTGAGTGTACATGGAAAAAAACCCATTTGGAGTGACTTACAGGACAATTATGCTTGGACACAGAGACAGACCTTGGGATTAAGCCTTTAATCTGTTCATTATAGGGAAGAAAAAAATCCTTCCCATTGTTGCAAATCTTCTTAGGCCTTGTGACGGCTTCTGGAAAAAGATAATCCTACTTGAAGAAATGCTGAGGGTATAAAACAATTTTGAGTTACATCTGATCTGAAGAAGGCAGAACTCGTTATTGTTGGTCTGAAAGTGGGCTCTAGGTAACACATGTTTACTTGCAAATACATGAAACGTATCTTGTTCATCTTTTGGTGATACCTGCAATTTTAATACATAAACGTTAATAATATCCTATAGTTCCTACATCTCTGCCATTAACTTGGCATTTCATCCAACCACCTTTTGACATCTCTTGTATGCTTGTAGAGTTAATTAGCCCTTGACTTTATGTGCATGACTACTTCCCAAGTAGAGCGTAAATTAATTAAGTCAATCATGATGCTCCTCTGATCCTGGATGAGCACTATCGTTTTATATACAGGGGACAGACAATCGTGTGTCACTCCCAAAATCTAGTTTAGTGTTTTCTAGCCCAAATTCTATAGCAGACAGAGAGCATTGGCCTTAGTTTCCTACTCTGCTCAATGTGAGAGGGGTAGGGCCTGTGTATGGAAAGAATTTAACAAGTGCCAGGCACGCAGAGAGGGCTTAGGAACTGGTGGGTCCACAGCAATAACAATAATGTCACTGCCCCCTCGATATCCTGCAGTGGCTAGGATTTGTCATCGCATCCTTCACCTGACAGTGGCTTCCCAGTGACTGACCACAAACACACCCCAAGTAGAGAGGATGGTGCCAAACATATGTGTACTTCTACCAGTCACGTTTCAGAACAATCAGGATCTGTGTTTGAGGAGCAGCCTGGAGTCCCTTCTTTCTCATCTCCTCTTTTCCCTCCCTCCACAGTCTCTGTAGTCTTTATGACCCTCAAGGTCCCTCCCCCCTTTCCCCATAAAGGTTCTAAATCTATGACAAGCCAGCCTTTCTCTTCCTAATTGATTGCCTTTCCTAGCAGAACTTCACATTCTTATGGTGAATGATCTTCTCACCCTTCCCATCCAGGTATAAGATGAGAAGATTAAAGGAGGAGAAGGGACTGAAAATTCTGGCTGGCCAACCTTACAACAACAACAAAATCACCATCACTCTCACCATTGTCATCACCTAAATTCTGTACCTGGAGCCCAGCAGGAAAGGAGGGAGAGAAAGGGAAGGAAGAAAAAGGAGCTGATCTGGGTCCAAGAGCTTGACCACAGGAGGAGGAGGAGACAGAGAAGAAGTTGAAATGAGAAGAAGAATGTAGAGAAGAAAGAGGGAGAAGCCTCAGGGTGGGGCAGGAATGAGAGACAGGCCCAGGATGGGGAAATGCCAACCTAGAGTCCTCAGGGTTGAAAACAGAAGATGACACCACCACAATGCAGTTTATCAGTCAACTGGACTGTCCCCAGAACGAGAAGAAAGATGATAACAGCCCTCAATCATGGACACCTTGTTATAGGCCAGGAACTGAGCCAAACTGGGTGGCAGCAACCAAGCTGCTTCACCCGCCCAATCCTCAGGCTCCTCATCTGTAAAGGGGAAGGCGCAGCACCTAGCTCACAGATTCATTGTAAGGATTAAGCAAGAGAACAGGTGTAAAACCGTTGGCACAGTGCCTGGCGCTATGTAAATGCAGTCCCTGTCCAACACCATGTAGCTTGATGACTTCAAGAGGTGAGGGAGGAGAGATCCACCAAAGGACTTGTATGCATGCATATAAGTTTAACCAATGGACCCAGACAACGGCGGGGGGGGGGGGGGTCCGGGGGGGGTGAGGGCATGTATTGGGGGGGGGTAAAGGGGGGGTAAGGACACATATGTAATGCCTTAATCAATAAAAAAATAGA